CCTTCAGAACCCTGGGATGCACGCCATCCAGCCCCATAGATCTGTACACATTCAGTCTCAAAGGCCTTGCAAAAGACAAAAAAAAGCAACACCTACAGCTCTCCCCTCATCCGTGCTACCAGTCATCACAATTAGTAGATGTCTGGAGAAAGGCAATGAGGTTGCTCAGGAATTATTTTCTCTTGATAACTCAACCATCTTCTCGATCTTGATGTTCTTGGAAATAAATAATAAATGGAAACTCTACAGTTTAACTTTAGTTGACATTGTCTAAATAGCTCTGAGAAACTAGTACTGAAGTGACCCGATCTCACTGAATACTAACGGAGCAAATTTACTGAACTATTATAGAGGAGAACCATACCTTGCTTCAGCATTATTGATACTTAATCAGCTGGTGTTTTAAAAAAAGGCTCTGCATGATATGTTATAGTGGAAGGAATCACACACCAAAGATGCTGCTGAAGGCTTTGGCAACAACACCAGTATAAATAAGTTCAAAATTGTTATTTGCAAGCACTGTCAGTCTATCAACTCATCTAAACTGTTTCCTTAGCTGAGATCTGATACCCTCAGTTCAAATTTTATTATATCTATGCAGCTATTGAGCCTTCTGAAATGTAGAGGTTGCAAACAATTTCATTTAAAACTTCAATCCATTCTTACTCTTAACTGCTTTCCTAGGATGCTATATTTAAATTCATAGTCAGGAACCTCCTGTTCCTTGTATGAATGTTTCTTTTAATTAAATAGGATAAGTGCTTGCTACTGTGAGTGAAATTCTGAACCAAACAGAAATTGGATACTGTTATCTCTATGTGAATGTCTTTTGAGATAATTCCTGTTTGCACTGCCTCATTAAAATTGTCTAGCACATATTTAGCTCTTAAAAAAAAAAAAAAAGAAAAGAAAAAGAAAAAAAGAAAAAAAGAAAGTAAAGACTGTATAAGTATTCCACTTGAACCAATTTGCTTAGTAGGATTTGTTCACCTGGCTTATAATTGTCTCTACTTTTAAAATGTCAGTGTTATAAGGTTAACAAGTCCCATTTTCTGCAGCATGTATATCTGAAGGAGTCTGAGCTGAAGGAAAAAAAACACTTTTTTCCTTTAACTTGCTAAGGTGGTACAGACTGCTGTCAGTTTCACCTTATCAAGTTCTAAGAACAGCTTATTAGTTCCTTCAGCTTTCACCCTCCAGTTTTACTCCTTCATCACTTATTCTAAGGATTTCACTTGTGCTTAATCTATTTTAAGGCTATTTCACAAGAATTCAGTAGGATTTATTTCTGTTTATTTAATTGTAGCAAATAGAAGTGAGCAGAGTCACTGCTCCTTCATAAGAAAAGCTTGTGTAGTTATGGAGAAATTGTTGCCTTTCATTATTGGAATGTAACTTTAAAAAAAAAAAAAAAAAGTGTTCTTTTATTTTTTTTCCTAATGTATTTTTACTTTTACTCAGCAACTGTCTCCCTAAACATATCCAGATAGAAAATCTTTAATCTTCTGTGAAACCTCTGTTATCATAAAAAAGTGCCACAGTGAATGCAAATGCTCATAGTAAAGAATTACCTCTAAATGAGAGGAAATACAGGCATATGGTGTCTGTCTTTCAAAGGTTTTCAAAGCAGAGCCATTCTATTCTAGGTCACCCATCCATTCCAAAACCTAGTCAGTGATAGCAAAAAAAAACCCTTGAATCTCAAATTGCTGCATGCTGACCTCAGCAAAATGAATATGTCCACTGTGTGGTTTCCACTAAAAACAGATCAACATATCAAATAGTTGCTGCAGCCACAAATACTATATCCTTGGGTTTTTCTTCCCTTCTTTAGCAGCACTGTGAGCCCTTTCAGCAAAGATGGCAAATTGTGAGTGTGAACCACATTCTCTTCTTAGTTTCTTTGGTTTTTAGGCCATGTTGCACATGTGATTTTCTTCTCCTATAAGAAAGCTATTTGTGTGAATATGTATGTCTAAGGAACCAACAACAGAGCTAGATTCCCTCACCTAGGACTGTTAATATGGGTAGATCCTTTTTGTAGGTATCCATTCCTGAAAAGTTCGAATGACTTTTTCCCGAGTCATTCTAGGTATAGAAGGTTAGGGAGCCAATTGAAGAGAACACATTTCTTAGAAAGTGATAGATGGTTTTCTCTGAAACTCTCCAAATAGTCTCAAATTGAATATCAAAAATAGCAAACATATCTCGGGACTAATCTCTGTGAAAACTCTGTCTTCTTATAAAGTATTTTATAAAAGCAGTGATATGTAGAGAGGTTATTGATTGTTGATAGTGATAAGACCAGGGGGAATAGATGGGGTGAGGCATCCCTGGAGGCATTCAAGGCCAGGCTGCATGTGGCTCTGGGCAGCCTGGTCTGGTGGTTAGCAGTCCTGCACATAGCATGGGGGTTGAAACTAGATGATCTTTGAGGTCCTTTTCAAGCCTGGCCATTCTATGATTCTATGATCTCGAGGGAGTTGGAAGGCAAATGGATGAGGCCTGGCTCTTGTTGATGGTATGTAGCAATAGCACAAGGATTAATGGCCTAAAACTTGTACATAGGAAGTTCCACACTAACACGCGGGAGAACTTCTTTATGGTAAGGGTGATGGAGCACTGGAACAGGCTGTCCGGAGAGGCTGTGGAGTCTCCTTCTATGGAGATATTCAAGAACCATCTGGACAGCTAGCTGTGCCACCTGTTGTAGGGTTCCTGCTTTAGCACAGGGATTGGACTCAGTGATGTTTCGAGGTCTTTTCCAGCCCCTGTGTTTCCATGATTTCCCCATTTTCCTTTGCCTGCAGGCACCCACAGTCCTCAAAAGCACTTCAGCAGCTGCGATGTGAAATGAAAGCTGGTAACTAGTGGCCAGCTGTATCATCTCCCTCCCTCTGGTTCATGAATTGTGTCTCTCTGGCACCGAGGGCCCCTTCTGACAGAGTGGGTTGTCCCTGTGCTCAGAGGCAGTCCTTCTCTGCAGAGCGCCACGGCCCTTGCACAGCTTCAGTGTCCTGGCACAGTTCTGCTGCCGTTCCCCTCTGGCATTACCGTGCAGTTCTGTTTCCATCATGACTCACTCACCGAGAGCAGCTGCCTCGGAGCCAGAACAGCCAGAGTTGGAGCAAGCAATCTCAAGGTAGGAGGCGGTGTGTGGCTTCCTCCACCAGGGAAACACCGAGACAACAGAGCTGCGTGCCATCAGGGAGGCACAGCTAGAGAGAGTCAGACAGATTCATGTGCAGTCTGCATTGAATGCACGGTCTGGAGCCAGACAGCCCCAACTCCCCCACTGATGTATCCAGCAGTATAAGCAGTAACGAGAAATGGAAAATTGCTATGAGAAAGACTAGCAAGAGGGGGATGCCTGCCTGCAAGCCTGAGGTACCTCTGCAGAGCCCTTGCAGATTCAACGAGTTCTCAGAGAACTGGTGGATGAAGTTGCCAAGCTGCTCTGCATCGTATTTCAGAGGTCATGGAAGTGTGGTGAAGTTCCCCCTGACTGGAAAAGGGGAAATATAACCCCCAATTTCAAGAAAGCAAAAAAAGAAGATCCAGGGAGCCACAGGCCAGAAAGCCTCGTCTCTGTGCCTGGCAAGACCATGGAGCAGATCCTCCTGAAGGCCATACTAAGGCACATGGAAAATAAAGACGAGGTGATTGGTGTTAACCACTCCCTTTCTATCCATTATTCCTTCCTCTCCAACCTCTGGATCCTCCTTCATGTTGAGATTTCAAGGTGCCCTATTCTACATCCCAAGCAATGATTGGAGTCAAGAAAGGTGGTCAAAGGTGCCTTTAGAGCCTTTCCCCAGCCCCTTGCAGGGGCCCGCAGCTATGGGGTTAGTCACTTCCTGTGACAGCACAGGGAAGGGCTAGAGTTCCCCAGCCCATGGGTCTCTGGTTCTTCCACGTCTGGGAGACAGCAGTCTTTCACCACATAACCCAGCACTACCTCATTGCTGTAAGGTCCATATGTGACTTTGGAAATGTTACAAACAACAAGTAAAACAGCTGTTGTGGAAGGGGAGGTGATGTGCAGTGGTGTAACATCAGCACCTTCAGCAGTGGCCATCTCCTGCTGCCAGCGTGGTATGCAGGCACGTACACAGCAGGGGCAAGGATGAGTGAAGCAAAAGAGAAAGAATGAGAATGAGAGGGGTGAAAGAGAGCATGAGCATCAGGCAGAGGTGATCTGGAAGGGTGCTGCTAGAGAGGCAGCTGGCCTCAACCTGCTGCTCGGAGAAAGGACAAGGATGAAGGAGGCACAGAGAAATGACAGAGGGGCAGGCAAGAACAGAATGCATCATCTGATGTGGAGAGAGATGGGCGCTGCAGGACTTGCTCTTCATCTGCAAATGCAAGGAAGTGGAAACGCACCATGAAGGAGGGTGCAAAAAATAAGTAAGCAGCCAGATAAAGAAATACACATGGCACAAGCAGAGTCGAAAGTGGAAATATAAGTGAGCAGGAGTGAGAGGACTCATGTCAAACCACCTGGCTAGGCTGAAGGGAATTCTCCAAGAGTTCAGAGAGAAACAGACCTATACCTCTAAGTCAAAACACAGGAAGAGCTCTGAGTGTGAACAACAAAGTAACCTGCTTTGGCAAGGCATGTGTTTGGAAGACATTCTGCAGGAGACACAACATACCCACAGCAGGGGTTTTGGCATCCTGTGGAAATGCCCATCTGCATGCAGACACAAGTTCTGCTGTGGGAAGTATGCTCCCCTTGCAGACCAGTTCATGGTGTAACTGGTATGGAGATGGTCTACAGCAGCTATTAAAATGAAGACTTGGTAAAAAAAAAAAAATAGCCAGGATTGTGGTATTTAAAAATGTTTAATAAATAGTATATTAAAAAATATATACACATACAAAAAATGTATAAAAATATATACATATACAAATATATACAAATATAAAAATATATAAAATATATACATATACAAATACATACATATATAAATTTATAATACATTAAAAATTTTTTTAGCTCAGCTTTTCTTTTCATTCTTCTCCCGTCTCCACTCGCAAAGGTAAAACTCTCTTATTCTCCTCCACATCTCGCTAGAAAAAGGAGAGTCTCAAGTTGTGATTGAGTAATTTTCACCTCAAACAGACTTTGAGAGTAACAAAGAAAAGCTGCTTCCTCCTGGGATCCCTCTGAAAGAGGCAAGCTGCAACTGGGACCGCAGCATGAGCAAAGACCGGAGTGCCAGTACCTGTCTGTCGGCTCCAGCAGCTGGAAGAAGTTGTCAATTGTGACCTCTGCGTGACAGCGGGTGAGGATGACCACTGCCTGGCACAGGAAGGGCATGAACGTGCTCTGCTTCATGGATGACATGCAGCTGCGCAGGATGTAGATGATCACTGTTGCCTGAAAGAAGAAAGGAAGAAAGAACAACTTGCTGCATCCTTGACTCTGCAGTGAGTAACCATGGACATTCAGTACATGAGCAGTGCCGGCTCTTTTGACATACTGCCAAGGCCTAAGCCTAAATTTCACACCAATCACCCTGTCCAAGCCCTGGCTCTGCACTCAGGCTGTGCTTCTTTAGCACAAGAGGCAAATGGCACAAGGCGTAGTGCAACAACCAGCGAAAGTCTAAGACACGTGGAAGAAAGTCTCTTAACGTCCCGACAGATATCCTTCCCGTACATCTGCAGAAAGGTGATCATCCACTTCCCAGCTGCACGCACGCGCATTCCTTTGCCTTTCCGCAAGGTCTCCTTGATGGCCATCAGGAAGTCAACGGTGCGTTCCAGGGGGAAGTTTCTGCACACCATCTGCAGAGAAAAGAGAAGAGGAGAGATCTCATCACTGCTCTGCAGCAGCTCTTCAAAACAGAAAGCAGTCTGGAGGGCGTTCTTAGCTCAGCAGCTTGCCGCTCATTCAGGGGCAATCACAACGCTCCTGCTCTCCTACCCTGCTATTTATACGGAAGGCGGTTGAGCCTTCTCTCAGCTGCTCCACCCATGCTGTTTGCTTACATGCAAAGCTTACCTAGCAGCCACAGTCACACATCCACATGCACACACACACACACACACACATATATATATATCATGGAATCAGCTCCTTGCACTGGGCGCCTGAAGGCCAGATGTAGCTCAGAACCTCCTGCTACTTGTTGATAAAAGTGGTCTCAGGGTGACAGCTCATTCTGGAAGCGGTGGGCGACATTGGGGGCAGCAGAGGGATGTGCAGAAGCCTATGCACTGAGATCCTACCACCCCTTTTTTGGGTCCACTTACCCTTGCAATTTTGGACAAGGTCCGGAGCTGAGAGTCGGTGCTGCAGTCATTCAGCCCCTCACACAGGCTACTGATGTCTCCCATTTTGATGACTCTGTTAGCTGCCCTGGCTGGAAAGAGCACAGGAAGAAAAGGGAAGTCATGCTTCTTGAAATGGAAGCGCTTTCCATAGGGACAGAGGACAGGGTGGGGATAAGAAGACAGCTGTGCATGGTGCCTCTCCCTCCTGTAAATAGGGCCCAGCCCATGGGGTAATGGGCTGGTAGTGCTGTGGAGGAGAGCACAGGGCTGGTGCATCCTACACTACTCACCTTGCATTCGGAGAAGGGAGCTCAGGCAGGTGGCAGCCAACTGGCAGGATGTGGGCATGTGGTCACACATCAGAGGTGCCAGCAATCCCAGCATGGAAACAAAGTGCTTGCAGGCATCTCCCCCCTGCAGGGATGAGAAGCAGGAACAAAGCTGTAGGCAGCCCAATTCTCCCTACCTTCTCCTGCCTGTGCCTTCCCCACGTGTTGGTGACACAGCATGCACAGCTGGGCGGAGCTTGCCTTCCAGCTCAGGAACACCAGGGAGGGAGCCAGGGGCATGCGATGGGGTTCTTTACTCACTCAAAGCTATTCACAAGCAGCCAGCAGCTGGGAGCAGGTCTGCAGGGCTCTATTGCGCTCCCACTCCCATGTTGTCTGATGTCAGTGATTTCTGCAGGACCTGGAGCAAAGCATCTGTATCACTGACGACATCTTTTCGTTCCCTTCCTGCCATCCTTCTCTCTGTCCCTCCTTTCCCGATACTTCCACTCAGGGCCTGCCCTGCGGCTCCACACAGCCCCCTGCTCTGCTGAGCACTGGCACTGCTGCCCCAGCTCTCTGCAGGCACTCCTGGAGCTTTTCCTCAGCTGCGGCCTGCCAGGGGCTGGCTCCTGCCTTTCTCCTGCAGGGCCCATTTCTCTGCCCATTTCTGAGCTCACAGTGAGCTGGCACGTCAGCAGATTTCTCCCCCTCTCAGTCCCCAGATCTCTGTCCCTGCTATCAACGGGCACCATGCTTCCTCCCTTGCCCCACACGTACTCACCTGGACTATGTTCTGGAAGAATCCCCGGGTGGTCTCTGTCTCAAGCAGGACCACCATGAGCCAGCCCAGAGCTTTCAACGATGTTTGCTGAAGCTGAAAGCAGAAGAGGGTATTGAGGTGTGGCATCACGGCTGCTGTCAGAACACAGGTCGTCTGTGCTGAGAAAGGGCTCCGAGTGAGAGGTAGCTGGGAAAATTATGGCAGGTTACCTGCAGGTACTGTGCTGCTTGCTGTGACTTCTTGATCTTAAGCATCATCCTCACTGAAGGGTGCGTCACAATATTCCTGCAGCACAGAGTCAGCATTTCACTCATGTCCTTGCTTTCTAAAGAGGGCTTCAGTTTGCTGACAGGAGGAAAAAAAGAAGAGAAAGCAGAGTCTTTACTAGTGCTCTCCAGAGTGGTTCAGACAACGTCTGAGATTCTCCTAATCAAAAGCTGCAAAGCCAGCACCCCCAGTCTGTGCTGCTGAGTGCTGTATTCAGTTCCATCAGCACTCGCCTCCTCCCTGGCAGCAGTGAACAACCTCCCGCTCTGAAGGGAAGGAGACCCCAGGTCTCCCTTCTCTTCCTCGCCTGGGGACAGGAGCACCAGGGCCTTTCTCCCTGCCCAGAACCTCAGCGTAGCTGGACACAACAGCCCAGCTGTCTCTCCTGTAGATGTGGCTCCTTACCCCCTACCCCCTCCAGACCTTCAGAAGCTATCCTAAAGGGGGACCACCATCCTGCCTGGTAATCCCAGAGGCTCCAATCCTTACCTCAGCTGCTCCAGGGCCAGAACCACCTTGAGGGGCACTGGGGATACACAGGTGCCCAAGTAATACTTCTAAGAAACATTGCCAAAGTGGGTAAGAGGCATGCAAGAGCTCTTCTGCCCGGCCCAGAGACAGACAAAGCTGCCACACACCGGCCCCATCACTCCCACATTTCCCACTGAGGCACTGCAGGATGCAGCAGCTCCACAGTTGGTGGACCTAGCCCACTGCCCAGCCGTTGCCTGCCAGCACCCAGGGTCCCCGCCAGCTGGAGACGTGTGGCTGAGGGAGACCTGCATGGCTCCAGGAGAGCAAGCCTCGTGGCACAGCCCGGAACTCCTCTGCAGAGAGCCCTGTCTCTAGGCACTCACCATCAGGATCTCCAGCAGCTTGCTCTTCAAGGAGGTGTCAAAGCAGATGGAGCCACCCACAGCATGGACGGCAGAGCTGAAGTCAGTGATGCTCTGCACCAGCGCAAGCTTGTTCTGCAAGTCCTGAGGCCAAGAGAGAAGAACATTCTTTGAACTGCAGGAAGGGCCAAGGGCTGCAAGGGCGGACATGGGGGGGCAACGCTAAGGGAAGGGCTGGGATCTTCATCTGGGCACAAACCATTCCCCAAGGGACCTTTGGAAAGAGAAGGCCCATCTCAGCATCCCCCCACGTGGAGGGGCGGCAGCTGGGCGCTCTGACACCCTGGCACGCTGTGAACTCTCACCTGGCAGCTGCAGCTGTACAGCAGCAGGATGTTGCCCACAATGTCTCCTTCCAGGCGGGCGAGCAGCTGCTCCTTGGAGGCTCGCAGTGCCAAGCTGCCATGGGCGAGGATGAGAGTGCCGCGTGTAGCCTGAGCTCTCGCGCTGTCCAGCTCCATCTGTGTGAGGAGAAATGCCTTGAGACACTCGCTCAGCAGCCCCCAGTGCCCTGCGGTGCACCTGGGCTCCCAGGGCAGGAGCTGCTGTGAAAATAAGGCAGAAGAATGCCAAGATGGGAACCCGTAGCACTTTACCTTCTTGCGCCTGGAAATCCTCCCATTGCGGCCTTTGCACAGCCTGGACGCAAACATGGTGAGTGTGTCCAGGACTGTGTGGAAGTTGCTGTCAGCAGCATGGCTGACAAGAGAGATCATTCCCTGCACAAAAGAACGAGGGGCAGTTGGCGCAGGCCTGAACCCATCGGCGCGGCCAGCCACAGTGGCCGGGCTGGTCCTCACTTGAGGGAAGCAGCAGCAGGGAGGAGATGGAAAGGCCTGGAGCAGGGCCAGGAGAAGCCCTCTGCCCCAGGGACAGAGCGGGGATGCTGGCAGAATCTGGGAGGAGAGCTCACCTGGGCCTCAGATGGCTCCTCTGCATTTGCCCCCTCCAGGTGCTGCAGCAGCTTCTCTTGCACATGGAGGACTTCCTTACAAGCTCCCAGAACGGTCCCCAGAGCCTTGTACAGGAAGGTCTGCGTGGAAAGGGAAGGAATAAGCTGGGATTTGGCAGCAGCATGACCTGCTGGCAGAGGGACAGGTGGGAAGGACCCACGCTCCCTGGGAGATGCTGAGAGCAGCTGAAGGGCTGAGCTGTAGCCAGCCCCCAAGCAGTTTGCAGGCAAAGGTCCCCTGGGGGGCGCAGGCTGGGGAAGCAGCGTGAGCAGCCCGTGTGGGCAGAGCACCAGCCTCAGCCCCAGCCCCAGTTGGGCACCTGCAGCTGCACCGCTGGGGAGAGCCGGGGGAGACCTACCTTTTCTCCAGAGCTGCTGGCAAAGCTGCTCAGCTGCCGGCTCAGCTCGCAGCTCAGGGCCTTGGTCCAGGCTCCATGGTGTTCAGTGATGCCCTCAGGAACTGTTGGAGAACAGGAAAAGCCAATGTTCCCTTGCCCTTTGCCTCTTCCCACATTCCCAAGTCGCTGCAGCCTTCTGGGGAGAGGTGCCTCAAACAACAGTCCCTCTGCCAGCTCCCCCCAGCATTCCCTCACTGGCTCGTATGGGCATGGGACTCCCTGAGGCAGGCAAGCACTTCTCTGCACCGCGCCTCCCAATAATGCTGTACCTGCAGACAATTCTCCCACTGTGCACAGTCCTGGAAGCTCTCATCTTTCCCTGCACAGCAACAAGAAGCAAAAAAACCTTGCTTGGGATCAAGCTATAAAAGAAGAGCTGCTGCAAACCTGGCTTGGCCTGGGCACTCGGCACTGCCAAGCTGGGACCTGAACCCCTCCACAATGACCTGTTCCTCCCCACAAACACTGTCCCAACAGGAGCACAGAACTGATGGCTCCAAGAGGGCTGTCTCAGGGGACTTGAATAGCCCACCCGTGTACTGGAATGGGCAGATCCCTTGGGGCAAAGGTCCCCCAGGCTCAGTGCCGTCTCTCTGGAATGGAAACAGCAGCAGAGCAAGCACTGGGCTGTAGGCAACACTTACCCTCTGCCACACTGCAGAGCTGCATTTTTGCTCCCAACCTTCCATGTCTCCGTCCCTCCATCCCACCAATACTTTACCTTCTAGGCACTGCAGCAGCAGGGGGATCTCAGCAGCCCACTTGGCCCCCACAGCTCTGTGGATCTTGCTGTGGAGGTTTTGCATGAGAAGCAAGGCAGCGGCTTGGAGTTTGCTGCCTGCAAAAGGGCACCCTGCCACCACCTGAGCAAGAGAAAGGAGAAGCAGGGTAATTCCTGCAGCAAGGGAAGTGACTTCCTCCAGGAGGGAAGCAGCCTGGCTCTGCCCTGGACAGCAAGGAGCAGCCAGCAGCTTTGCCCATGGTGCTGCAAGCCTGGGTAGAGAACAGCATCCCCAGGGGTGAGGCAAGCACTGGCACATTCAGCCATGCTCCTTAGGGCTTGTGGAAGCAGCCTCTGGAGCATGTACTCACCAGCAGACATGCCAGCAGTATCTGGGGAGTCAGCAGTGGGCCTGCAGGGAGAAAGAAGTGCTGAGTGAGGCGCAGACACGCCGTGCCCTGCCATGTGCACCGTCTGGGTGCTACCAGGGGCCAACAGAGCTCACTGGGGGATTTTCTGCTCCTACCTTGAAACATGGAGCTGAGGAAATGGGGATCCAGATCTTCCATGTCCCGCACCGTCAGCTCCCCTCTCTTGGCCAGGGCTTGGACGCAGCGGGAGACCGGGATCAGCATGCCGGTGTACTGGGCTGGCACCACGTACAGCAGCAGCCTTGGCCACAGGAGCTGTAGGGAACGAGGCAGTTGAGCATGTCAGTGTTGGCATCAGCATCGCCACCCTGACAGTGCTTTCCTTTTCCAAATCAGCTCACCTGGGTCCTGGGGTCATTGCACACACACTCTACAGCCTCTGCAACCTGCGGCAGCTTCTCTGTCATTGCAGGCTCCGCAAAACATGCACAGAAGCTTCTCTTCTGGAGATGGAGGCACAACCCAGGTGGCAGAAGGAATCCCTGGAAGTCCTGACCCGTGGTACTGACCATCAGAGCGAGCCAGAGCACAGAGCAGACCCAGGGCTGCCACGCATCCAGCCTCCCACTCATCGCCCAGCTGCAACTGCAGAAACAGGACCATTTCCTCTGGGCAGATTTGGGCTGCAGGGAGGAAATGCCACACTATTACCAAGAAACTCGCCCTTGTTCCAGAGTTTGCAAGAGAGGTTTTGGCCAGGACACTGCCAAGCATCACCAAATTTCCTCTCCTTACCCTGCAGCAGGATGCAGTGGGTCAGCTCTGCTCTGTCAGCCTCCCTGTGCTGCTTGGTGTTATCAGAGAGCTGTGGGAACAAAGTCTATTTGAAAAAATTCTATCAGTATTGAGGATGGAAAAGAAACTGTGCTGACAGCTCTCATCTCCCTTGGTACTCTTGGGAGGAGGACATGCAGACAAAACACAGCCTGCCCCACAGCATCCCTGGGCACACGCAGAGCCCTGGAGCAGCCACGGCCATGCAGGAGCTAAGGCTAGGCAGCCATCAGATGCTCAGAGCTTTGCAGTCCTTCAGAGACTTAGCCAAGAGAGAAACTGCTGTGCACACAAGGATAGGCTTCCCTTACCTGGTAGAACACGGCACTGGTGATGGCCAGAAACTTGTCCTTGGGGATGACAGATTGAACTCCTGCTAAGGCCTCCAGGAAGATACTGAGGCTCTGCAAGAGACCAGGAGAGGAAGAAAGGGATGAAGCCACACCTAGTCACTAGGGAGCAGAGGACTGATTCCCAGTGGTTTTTCTGCTGGGAAAAGCTCCCACACAGGTGTTCTTGTTTGTCCCCCCTTCCCAGCAGTACCAAGAGAGTCTCTGCTCTCAACCGAGCCCTGTTTGGGCATCATTTGCAGCCATTTCCCTCCCAGCAGCCCTCTTCTCCCCATCAGATGAAACTGGACATGGTCCCCCTGGCTGTTAGCACACAGCTCCTCAGGCACTCAGAGCCCCATGGTGGTGAAGCCTCCCATTCCCAGGATGCGCCTCAGTGTCTCCTGGCTCTGTTCTGGATCCTGTCTAGGTTGTTCCTTCCTTGACTGAAGAACTCAGGAAGCCTCAGACCTCCCTTGAACTCCTATTTCTTCTTTCTCCTGCCTGTAACTTCCCTCTACTGTAATACTTACAATCCCTCAAGTAAGCTCTGTGGCAACTCAGTCACAGAAAATATGACTGTGATCTTCCAAGGCACCCAGAGTCTTCCCAGAGACCTGTTTTTTATGCCACAGGGCAGGCTAGCTTCTGGTTTCCCTAAAGAAATTGATAAGATTTCCATTGTCTCAAACAAGATCCGTAGGCAGAACTTTTCTTAAGTGCACACTTTCCTCTTGCAGTGGCTGACTGTTTTCCCTTAGAAACAAGGTTGTAGGAATAAAATGTCATTCTTAAGACATGTATTTGGATTTTTAGAAATTGGGTCCTCCATCCTTTCTGTTTAAGTGCTCTTTTAAAAGAGTAATCCCCATCTATTGCTCTTTTTTTTCCAAATTTTAAATTTTTTTTTTTTTTTTTTTTTTTTTTTGCATTTTCTTGTTCACTGCAGGCATTTTAATCTATTATTTATTTATTTATTTATTTATTTTACCTCACAGTCATCCTGCAATACCTGCTTATTTGATGTGTTTTAAGAGAGAATGTGAAAATATAGTCCAAAATGATGGGTTAGGCTTTTTGTAGCTTGCCAGACAAAGTTACTTGCTCCTATTGAATGCTTATTCTTTAATTATGCTGATTATGATTTGTTGTAAATTATTGTCTCGTATTGAATGATCTCAAAAAAACTGTTTAAGACTCAAAAAAACTATGTTCTTACTATTCAAGTTTTCTGGTTTATAAGTAATGTGATATCTTCTCAGAAGTTTGTTACAAAATAAATTCTATTTAAATGAGCGCCTTAAAAACCTCATATAGGGGAATATGTCTGGTACAGTACAGTCTGGTGCCTCTAGTAGCTAAATGGCATTTCAGTATGTAAAAATCAATTGAAAACTAAAACTGGCATTGTCTGCAAGTTTGAGTAATCTATAGGTACAAAATGTATTGTAATTCTGGTTGTCCTCCATTTGTTGACTCATTCTTTTTTTCCTGCTCCGCAGGAGTCATTAAACAGACCAATCCTAGCTCAGTGTAGCTCCTAAAGCACTTCATTCGAAGCGTTTTTTAAACTGGCTCATAAAACAAAAGGTAATATACGGAATATAGACACAGTGTTCTTCAAGTTCGTGATACTTCTCATGACCACTTAATAGGCAACATTTTCTTTTTACTGATATGTGTACCAAGAAAAAAACCAAACTACTATTTTCTCTGGAGATCTCTTTGTCACCATTGATTGCCTTAATTTGACTTTATCCAGCAATTCATGCAAAATTCACTGTGTTTAACCTTGCAACCTTGTGTTTCACCTAGCAAAGCTCAATTGGCTCTTAATTAGTGAACTGCTCAATTATAGATACCTGCCTTGCCAACCCACCCCAAGTACTACTTAAAAGTGTTATTTCTTTCTATAGTTCTCATTTTTCTTCAAGATGTGTAAAATATCTTACAAACTTCTCGATTCATGAGTTTTATTCATGCATTGCTGATTGTGCCCTTCTGTTCTGCCCTTGGGAGGTCCCATCTGTGATACTTTGCCCAGGCCTGGGGCCCCCAGCACAAAAAAGATACAGAGCTGTTAGAGAGGGTCCAGAAGAGGCTCCATAGATGCTCAGAGAGCTGGAGCACCTCTCCTATGAAGACAAGTTGAGGAAGTTGTACTTGTTCAGCCTGGAGAAGGGAAGGCTGTGTGGAGACCTCATTGTGGCTTTCCAGTTCTTAAAAGGAGCCTATAAACAATAAGGAGACTGACATTTTTCATAGCCTAATATGAATGGGACATAAGGGATCAATTTTTAGCTGAAAGAAGGAAGATTTAGGTTGGATGTTAGGCAGAATTTCCCTACAAAGAGGGTGGTGAGGTGCTGGCACAGCTGCCCAGAGAGGCTGTGCCCAGAGGCCGGGTTGGATGTGGCCCTGGTCTGGTGGGAGGGTCTTAATTTTCCTTTTAACTCAAGCCATTCTATGATTCTATGATTCTTTGGTTCTGTGATTCTGTGATTCTGTGATCTACTGTTGTATATCATACTTTCTGTTTGGATGATTCAATGGTTCTGCGACCTGTTACACAATAATTTGGGGGTTTTATACAGTTTTGCTTGAAACATCCAGCAAAATCCCAATATCAAGTTTCCTATATGTTATTCCTGTTAATCAGGAGCTTACCTTGTCTTTTTCAACTCTCCAGATTTTTAAGAGCTGATTTAGAGTCTCTGAAAGGCCTCCAGTTTTCACAGCACTTAACTGAACACCTTCTAGAGTCAAGCTTGTGTCAAGTTAACTTTCTGAAGCAGTGACAGCAGTACAAGTGTATATAGCTAAGTTAGCTTTAAACTAGGTTTCCAGCTGCTGATAGCTCTATGTTGGTAGATCAAGGAGCATATTTTACTCTAAAACCCACATGAGAATCTGGGTAAATACTAAGGAGATTGATTCATGCTGAGTTCTCTACTACTGGTTACAATGCCTATGAGTGCCCAAACTGTCTCATTTAAGGTGTGCCTGCACACTCTCTGTCACTACAATAGCTGCAGGACTGCCATATCCTATAGCAGTAAAGCAAAACCCAGCCTGGGAATAGAAGTAATCATTACTTTCAGCATGTGCTATCAGTGTGTTCGTTTTTCACAAGTGAGCTTAACTCTGCTTTCTCTTCTGTCCATAGAGTACTCCCATCTCCTTTGGGCAGTTTTAGTTTTCTTATTCACTGCAGTTTGGACATTAAGACCTGTAAATAACCCCTACCTCTACACTCAGAATATCTTGAAAGGTTAGGTTTGTTTTCCAAAAAAGTTCCAAGTCACGGAATAACTTCATCCCCTGGTAATATCTCTCCAGGGTCTTAATAGGCACTTGATTCATGCGGGAAGCTGTGGATATGGTGTTTGTAAGCCCAACAAATGTTTTGATTCTTGCATAACCTTACTTGAAGTTATGTGCATACAACTCTCCAGTCTAAAACAGAAATAGCAAGTTTAAAATGTATAGGGAACAAAACTGTTGCTACTTCCTTGTGTAAATCACTTCACCTCTCTGCTTTTTTTGTTCTCCCTGTCTTTTCCTATCTTAGCTTTCTAGGTGAAAAGCTTTTCAGGAAAAAGATGTGTTATTTTCCCAGATGCTTGTATATCACAAGGAAATGCTCTTCTCAAATGATGACAGAAGATGTGAGCCCTCCCTGTGCTATGTTTTTCTCTTTGTCATTTTCTGCTTGTTTTACATGTCTGCGGCTGGTTCGCAAAACTGAGCAGAAATATGGAATACCTGAGTGTTATTCTGAGCATGGTTGCATCATCAGACTTCTCTGAGTGAATTTTTCATTTGTCTGTCCTGGTCAAGTTGCCATGGTGTTCTAGGATCATAGTGTGTTGTGAGAAGCAGTGGTGGAAGTTTCTTGCTCCTCATTGCTTAATTTCTGATCTTGGATTGTTGAGAGTGGTAAAAATGTAAAGTCGTGCGTGCACTACAGTTCCAACAATTGATAAGCCCACTAAGTTTAAATGGGTTGAATGGATATGGTGATAGGTATATAACAATGACAGCATGAAGTTCATTGCTGCCTGACTTAACATCTTCTTCAAGCAGATTTAGCAGCTGGTTCTAACTTCCACACTGCTGGTGCTAACTGGAGACCAGATTTCTCTAGCCGAAGTTAGATCTATGATAGCAGTCTCAGCAATATCCACTGCCTGAATGGTGGGAGAGAAGATGACCCTTCAGCCTCTAAGTGCAGAGTAAATTTTTTGTAGAATTTCAAGCCACTCCAGGATCCCTTCAGCAGACATTCCTAAATATGGCCCAGGCATTTTTTTGCAGCTTGTTTTGTTTTGGTTTAAATCATGATATAAATTCATCATAAATCAAACTTTGTGATATAAGAAAGCATGGGCTTGTATACTTAACCACAGATAACTGTTGCTTGACTACCACAGGACAAGACTACAGTAGTTCAAGCTGGTGTGAATCTAAGCAAATTCCTTACCTATCCTGTAACAAAAAAAGTGTGTCAAAAGTCTATTGGAGCATTCATTTAAGCATTCTGTACTGTACTAGCATCACGTGATTCAAACATGAAGAAGCAATACCTTAAGGTTTCTTTTTCTGCTCTTAAACAAAATGCTGTAGCAACATGAGAAGTTTTGCTAACTTTAAAGTAAACCTCCCATCAATTCTATGTCTGGCAGACCAAATACCTGGGGAATAATTTGATGTGGTCATAGAAGATAGAAGCATGTATGTATGTTAAAGGCCTCCATAATTCTTAACAACAATTTTAGCATAGGAAAGGAATAACTTAACCTGGAATATCCACAGCTCTCTGTGCTGTCTGTTGTTCAGACAATCTCAGTTTTATGGAGAAAAGAAAGCAAAATTTGAATTTGTGTTTTGCTGTTACTCATGTCATTTCTTCAGCATACGGAGCATTATATGGGTATTCCTATCCTGTCCCACTCTTAACAGGAAATACAAATAAGATACCAGGAAACTTAAGAGAAGCTAATACTTTTAACCCTTTAATATTGTTGGCTGCAGTATAATATATTTCAGAGTAAATGTTATAGGATAAGGTATTT